ACCTTTTATATAGGGTGGTAAAGCGTTATTTTCGTGCAACGTGATCGCCCGTTTTTTTATTTCACATTCAACGTGTTTTTACTATTTTATTTGACGTTCAGTCGTGCAAGACAGGTGCCTCGTTCAACGTGTTCTGCTTATTTTATTTTGCGTGCATCGTGATTTTCAAATGCTTATTTTGCGTGTTCGGTGTTTTTCAAATAAAATTCAAACACTTGGCAGGGATCGTCTAGAAAAAATGGATTCAATTTTGTTTTTTGATCAAACGGAAAGGTCTTTGATGTTTACAATAACTTGTGCTTCTGTTCGTCATTCCAACAAATATTCCCGTTAGATTTTTCTAAGAAACAACTTTACATAATGACTTCATATTAAGTTAAAATCTGATATGATTTTACTTTTGTATCTCGTATATACATGCCTCATTACCGATTCTTTGAATATTTTGATAAAATGAAAAGAATGACTTTAAATAGGATCGACATCTTAACAGTGACGAGCTTTAAAGTGTTTGCACTTTTCATCATCTGTCTGTTCAAACTTCCTATTTCTGATACCTGGCCACGGTTGCTGGTGGTGTGGCTAATATGACAACGTATGTATTCTTGTTAATAAAGACAATGAAATAGATCAAGAATACACTTTCGTGTCTGCGGGATATTTGCATTTTAAAAGTTGAGAAGATCGGTATATACTTTTTTAAAAGCAGTTAACCATTTATATCATAAATGTGTATACTAAATCGGGAATATCAAGTAAAACAGAGAGTTTATATATACAGGAAGAGAGTGAATCAGTCACAAAAGGTTCACATGAGTCTTTATTTTTCGTGCAACGTTAATGACAGAAATTATTTCACGTTTTTTTTTCAGGCAAGCACCCCGTTTACCACCCTCTTTATAGAACAAAAAATAAACGGTTAAAGCTCAAATGGTCTTGCTGCCAGTTTGTTATTTGAAAGGCCTTGCAAATGGTAATAATTGTTCTTCCTTTATCTGTTCCTAGTTTTATTATGTCGTTTTTATACGGCTTCAAGATAGCTGCTCCGTATTCCATTCCTGACCTTAACATGGAGTTATGCTGTTTTTCTCACAGCTTTCTGTGTAATGTCCAAGGTTTCTCGTAGGAATCCCAGATTTCCAGTGTTGATTCAACTTTCCTAGCTTCTTTGTTTAATGGAATGGACCATTTCAATCCATGATGATATTTAGGGGTCCGTCTTGAACCCCCTCTAATATATGGTTGTTCAGAGTGTAGTACTAGTATTTCGAATGCTCATTGTAGCAAGTTATTTTGCATTGAATCTCCATCCCCATATTTTGTAGAATGTTCAAGTCATCCGAAGTTTTAATTATTCTGTATCTATTGGTGATATTCACCAGCGAAATTCGGACTGTTGAAGTGACTGTCTAGCAGATCATATATGTGGCAGAGGAAAATCAGTGGTCGTAAAATTCACAGGATATATATACGAGGGTAGTAAAGGGTTATTTTCGTGCAACGTTTTCGGCCTTTTTATTTTACGTGTTTTCGGGTTTTGACGTTTTATTTCTCGTTTTCTCGTGTTTGGTTAGATGTGCGTGCTTCGTGTTTCCCTTTATTTATTTTCCGTGTTTCGTGTCGGAACTCTTCATTTCTCGTGCTTGTACCGCATTTGACTAAAAAGTAAAACTTGTGTAATCTAATAGAACTTGATGTATACTGTTACCATTCTACTTTTGCAATTCTATTGTATATGTATGGTATGTAATAAAGTCCATCAAATTACTATGAATAATATTTTTTCAAATCAAATTCAACTAGCGGACGCTAAAAGGTGACCGCAGGGTCTTCATGTCGTCCATTAATAATGACTGCATGATCTCTAAGAACGGCTGAGTAATAACTTCTAGTACCCTTTTCCTTAATATTTACGATTTTATTTCTCGTGCTTCGTTTTACCGGATTTTTTATTTTCCGTGCAACGTTTTTGCGATTTTTATTTCACGTGTTTCCGTGTTCAGACCCCCCCCCCCCCCCTTTACCACCCTAATATACTAGTAAGGCTTCGAATTTGGTACACCAGACGCGAGTTTCTGCACCACTCAACAGTTGAAGTCCCGAACTCCGACTTAAAACAGTCTGAAGGTCGAATTTAATACGAAGTTACCAATAGCATTGTAAACCGATAATTCTGAAAAGTTATGCCAAAATTTATACGACTAAAGTTATCAATGTATGCCTGGGTAGAAAACCCTTCGTGTTTCTAATAGTTCAATATTTTATAAACAATAAATTTAAAGAAAATGAACATATCAATGATGTTTCATGTCATCACAAAAGTACTGACCATGGTGCTACCCTTGGGAATGAAACATCCACCAAATTAAGGTGGCATCCAAAAAATTTAGGTCCTTTCAGACACTTCTGATTCAAATCTTTCTTACTTTATCCGATTTTTCAACCTTCAACAACTGTTTTATTTTCCAGTTTGTCAGGAAATTTTTAAGTCATGAAAGTGTGTCCCCTATGTCTAATTGTTGTTTGTTCAGATGCAGTCGCTTTAGAGAAGTCCAGTATGGCTACATGTTTGGTTTCCTTGGTCATTCAGGAAGTTATTTAGCGTTGTTATGTGCATTTTACTGACTTATCCTGATGTTATGCCATGATATCATAATGTGAGAAAAATTAAATTAACACATTTATTTCTTGAATCCGAAAAGTTTTTCTGAATTAACCTTCACTAGGAATGCCAATATCCCCAAAATTGAAGGCCAACAATGTATAACTACCTTCACACTTGGAGAGCTGTATGATCAAAAGGAGAACGTGCATGTAGATTATATGTCCTAAAAGTTTTCTCGGTTATGCTGTTAATAAAATCAGTTAATAATTTTCTGCTTGCTGTTTATCACCTTTCTTGAAAATGCATATATGTTTGATCTCTCCTTTCCAATTTACCCGAGTCTACGGACAGTTTGAATATGGTTGCTGGACTAGATGCTAGTTTGAGTGAAGTCCTTTAACATCCTGTTTGCTATGTTGTCCGGACCTTCGATGGATCAACCCATCATGGCATGACGGTAGTTTGTAAACTAATTGTATAATAGTTTGGTTTCATTAGGATGATAGATTAGTGTATTACATCCATTGGCTAATATTGTAAGCTTTTCGGGACAACACCCTGTTAGTGTAGTATGAAAAGAAATCCTTCTTTGTTTGGAATAATCACGTTGCGTATGATTGTTTTAACGTGATACTTCAAGAAGACCGATCTATCAGGAACAAATTTTGGCCAATATACAAATATACCCAGAACTATCCTTCATTGAATTCCAGATTTGTAGCGTTAAAGCAACTTTTTTCAGCATCAGTTGTAATGTTCCTTCATTCCTAATTTTTCAGCTTTCAAGTTCTGCTGTCCCAGATACCACATCGTTTGGATCATCAAAATTTAATTCCAGTGAAAGAAAGATTCCCTGTTTTGCTTTTTCCATTATTTGTCTCTCATTTCTTTAGTCTGCAAAAATTGTCTTTGAGGAAGTTATTATTTATGTTTATATTTTGATAAGAAACCTATTTTAAGAGAAAATAATGGGGAAATAGCAAGATGTGAAAGACTTAACTAAAAAGTGTAAGAATCTTAAAAAATTGTCTTCTTTTAGTAGAACTATCTACTGTTTTGAAGCACCAGTTTCCACTTTTGAATTGTTGTCCTCCAAAAAAAAAACCCATTCAGCCATTTAATTCTACTGAAACAGGTGTGAAATGCCAGGTATTTCTCTCGTTAGCTCAATGCTACATTATCATAAGTTGTATCCATGGACAGGGCAGTTATTCCTTATCTCTGGACTTGACATCATTGATCAATCTCTTTTTAAGAACGCCAATGAGCTACATATCATGTACATAAGCAGTTAATATTTCTGGGTTGAGAGTACCCTCCTTTTTCCAATGTCTCAAACTTATTTTATCATTTTGATCTCCCATATCTTAAATACAGCAACCTCTTGGAGCTTAGCATCCTCATTAAAATAGAGTTGCTATGTGTGTTACTGTTTTCTCCTCAATAATTGCTGCTTTCAATGATAATTACATGCTGGTTCTGAACACCTCCAATGCTCATGTTATTTCTAAACTGTGTACTTAAATCTTCATTTTTCCAATATCTTCAGTAAAGTCTTTGAACACCATTCTAAAAAGCAACAAGAGATCAATGATGACAAAAAAAAATAAAATTGTATACCATCTTTCATGGATATACTTGCTCAAAATACTATCCAATGGCTCTTAAAATTAAAAATCTTTTAAAAAACATTTTTAAAGAAGAAGTTAAATTACTAGCAGAATTCAAATCTATAAAAGAAACGTTTTCTTTTCTTACATTTTAGATATCTATTCTCTCAAAATACAAAGCTGGATTCATATTTAAATCAATGATTTCATATTTTATGTTTCAATATAAAAATTTGTAAACTTGGACTATAATTCAGCTTTTTAATTCAAAACCTGACAATACATGCAATATGGAAGCAGGAAAAAATTAAATTCAAACATACTTTTTAGAGTGGCCACAGTTAGACATATCAATAAGTGATATAATAGAAATTTTGGCATTGGATAGTAAATTTGAGACCTTGTGAATATCTTTGATGATAAGAATCCACATTCATGCCAAATTGTTTCAAACAACAGACTTTTCTGCCGTTTACATGATGAATTTTGTATTATAAAACTTTAAGAAATGGGAATGATGGAACTTTAAACCCCAAAAATAAAATATTATAATTTAATTCTATGGTTTAGTTTATCAAAATAAGTGCAATGAACAAAATATGTCAGTATAAATGTGCAATGATATCTCTGTTAGCATACCAGATCTAAATTACTTATCTTTCCATATATATGCTACCCCAATCCCTCCCAACTAATTAACACAAATTTTCATAGGTATGTTGTTTGAAACAAAACAGACACCATCTTTCATCTTCTGGCAAACATCATACATACAAACACAAGTATACTTTGATATATATTTTTATTCACACCACATTCACAAAATCACATCCAAATTAATTTGTATAAGTTATGATGAGTCAGAGCAAATTGATTTTTGTTCAAAAAGGGGCTAATCAATAAATAAAAACAGTATTTAGCTAAACACTTGTACTTGAAACTTAGGTGATTAAAGTCATGATTATATTACTCCTGATTTGAAAAGAAAAAAATCTTATTCAGTTTGAGGTTATCATTACACTGGCATACAATACATGTACAAGTAATGTGGCAGTCCCTATGTAGACCAAAGGCCAGGGGTAAAAGTGTGTAATTGTTTGGGGGTATTAAATTCCGTTTTCAATTTCGAACCTCTAAAATTTGTTCAAAGGTCAGAAAAAATACCAACAAAAATAAGGCTGAAACCAAACGTCACTCACTTTTATTGCTTTGGAATAACTTTCAGATCCCCTTCCCTCCTAATATCTTTTTAAATGTTGCTTGATTTTATGTTTATATGCCACTTATGTATTTAATGCTGACAGTGAAAACAGTAAGCAAAACTGTTTTTTTTAAATTATTTATGTTAAGGTGAAAATTAATTTAATGGCATTTGGCTTTAAAAAATTAAACATGAATTCTAATGGTGGGGTAATGAATAAATCATGATTTTACACACATTTCATAATTTTTTTTGAAAACTAATTTCATTTGTCAAAGAATCAAACCAAAAATAACATTTCATTCAAAAATCACACAAATTCAGTCCACACAATATAACAGATAGCAGTTTAATCCATTCAGTTCAATTCAGTCTGCAGCAAATCCACACACGATTCAATCCAGTCCATCACAAGATCCACACATTTTGTTCGAGTTCGCGTTTTTGTTACTCGTACAGATTCGATCCATTCTGATACACACAAGTCTAGTTCATACCATATCCATTTGATGGAAATGTCAAATCTTTCAATTTTCACCCATGATCTTAATTTCACACATCATCACATCCAAGTTCTTTAGTTCATGATTCAATAAAATTCATTCGTCACTTAAAACCGCACCAACATATTTTTTTTTAGAATTTACAGATAAAACCATATAAATTTTACTAAATAACAAACAACAGAAAAAAAAATAATATAAAAATATTACTCTAGCACTAGAACATGTATAAAAATTGGGAACTGGGAACAACCTGATTCTGAGCTTTCATATTATGCTGAAATAATTATTACACATACGTCAATCTAGTTAAATAATTTCAGAAAAAATGAAACATTGACTGTTCCTGGAATCAATGTTATATAAAATAATTGTAGCTTTTTTCAATAGAGAATAGACTTTGAAATTGAAAGATGATTAAATTGAATTATATAAAAATAAGGAGATGTGGTATGATTGCCAATGAGACAACTACATGTATCCACCGAAGTTATGCATTTTATATAGCCAGAACAGGTAAAAAAAGTGCTTTTTCTGTAAGAATTAAATTTGAGGTTATATGACATTACATTTTTAGTATTTTCAAATCTAAGCTTTTTATTTCCTAGACAAAAAAATATTTTTTTCATCGTCAATACTTCCTTTATAATAAATTTTGACAGCTGTCTGAACATTGAACATGGACATTTTAATGTTTACAAGAAGATTGTAAAAAGATAACCAAGAGTCCACTGTCTTCCAGCAAAGGACTATAAATGGACAATTATTCAGAATATAATACACAAATGGGGACCTGAAGTAAAAGTTTACTTAATAATTAATGAATTAAGCATCAATGTACCCCCCAAAACCCAAGTGGCATTTCAAAAACCTAATTAGTCTTTGAACATCAGATAGATTTAGGCAGACACAGAAAATTGAAACAACATTAAGTAAATGTACTATAAAGAAATGCGGCTTCAATCTTTTTATCAGAGAAAAAATCCTACGAAAGTAAAATATTTTTTTTGTCAAATGCAACATTATTGAAATCCAGTCGGTAAAAAAATGAAATCAAGGTAATCTCAACATTTCCTAAGTTTTGTTAAAAGTAGACATGTATTTTAAAATGAGGACCAGGATGGCTATAGCCTATTTTTTGTCTACAATTTTTCATCAGGCCATGCTAGAATTTTAAAACAATCGTCCTGAAATGAAACAGGATAAAATGCATTAACAGTGAAACATGTCTCAGGGGAATTCTGTGGAAACCAAAAACAAATCTACTCTAAAATCTTGCATCAAGACAAACAATGGATGTTTAACCTGCGTTAACTGAAAAATTTAGACAATTTTCACTATTTTAGCGATTTGCACCATATTGAAGATGGCAGGCCTGTTCCATTATATAACCTCTTAAGTGTAAGAATTTAAGAAAAATTATGGAAAATATTTAGTTTTCATCTACATGATTACTTTTGAGGATTTAAGTACTGATGCTAAAACAATAACAATTTAAAAGTCCTAATTCCAACCACTTGGTTGTTGTTGCTGTGGTTGCTGTTGTTGTTGTGCCCCTCCCCAGCTGGCATAACTACTGCCATCTGTCCCCCCACTCCAACCCCCAAAGAAACCTCTACTGCTGTTTTGACGTGTTGAATCATAAGTCTGACTAGTAAAGGAATCACTAGCTGATGCGGGCTGGGTGGTTTGCTGAACAGGTGGAGGTTGTTGTTGACCAGGAAAATTAGCCTGGCCACTTAAAACAGCTTGGGCAGCTGCAAACATGGCAGAATTCAACAAATTCATCCCAAACTGGTTGAAATTGGGATCACCCATTGGTGCAGGAGGAAGGGTTTGAATTGGTTTTCCTTGCTGCTGCACATTCCATCCACCTTGATAATTCTGGTTACGAGAACCACCAGAATTCTGATACCCTCTCTCCTTATCCTTCATCACTATTTTTTCAGAATTTTTTGGCGCTGCTGTAGTTATGTAAACACTAGCTCCTTTGATGATATGATCTTCACCACACAGAGCTCGAGCTATTGCTGGATCTGCAAATGTAACAAATGCAAAAGCTCTAAATGGCTTTGGAATGAACACATCTACAACTTCCCCATACTTGCTGAAGTACTGACGCAAATCTTCTGTTGTCAAATCTTCTGTACATCTGGCAACAAACACTTTTCGACTAACCATCTGAGCAGCACCTTCCTGAAATTTTTGGAAATTGATACTGGTTAAATCTATATTAAGTGTACAGTACACGAAAAGTGATTTATTTAAAAATAACCCTTGTAATATAAGCGTTCTTTAACATGCTAATTTTTGAATGCTCATGATATACTGTTATAATGTATGAAATAAGTTTAGGTGGGCAGAACAAAGTACAAGACCTCTAAAAAAGGCCCTGGTTACTATAAAACTAAAAGTAAAACAATCTAAATCGGTACTTACATTAGAGTTTGGAATTGTGACATCACACCATCTACCATCAATCATATGCCTTTGTGAACAAACTTTGACCTGAGACTCGTATTCAGAAAATCGAATAAAACCAAAACCTTTGGACTGTCCTGTTTTTGGATCTCTCTTTACCTAAAATAAGAGTATACTACTTGTTTTCATGTCACTTCAATTAATAAATATAACTATTTTGCATTTATGAAAAGAAGCTCATTCTGGACATTCCTACATACGTTTATTCCTTTCATTCAAACAAAAATGTGATAAATTGTTCTTCTAGGTACCATTTACAGACATGATTTTGATAAAAATAAATGTGGTACATAACTAAATATAGTTCTATGCTGTAAAATTTGCAATAACCTTCTTTTGAGAACTTGCTATCCTTATTATATAGAATGCTCTATTTCCTGTATAGATTTTTTCTTCTTTTCAAATGTTTTGTGTATATTTACAAGATATAAACATTTCACTTCCAGTACAAATTTATAATTAATTCCAAGACTAAACACACCTGAACCAGCAAAAGTTCACCAAACTGTGAAAAGTACCGCCTCAGATCATCTTCTGTACTCTTCCATGGCAACCCAAGAACAATTAGGTCACTGCATCGTTGCTTGTCTAGACATTTGTTCTTTGCTCCAGGATTTTCAATACCTTCCTCACCTTTTCTTTTATTTTCTTTATAAAAAGACAAAGAAAATGGAAATTAAAATTCAATGGAAAATTTCATAAAATTAGATTAGTTTTCATGGCATTGGAACAAGAGTCTCATTTTATATAATTTGGTTAAATGAACATGATGATTATGTTTCAAGATTAAAATTACCAAAATGAAAAATGTAAATTGAGAAAGATAATATAAACCGATTCTGAAAGAATTATTGTTGAAATGTTTCATATGAAAAAATCAAATACACCTAGTATAAAAGTTTACTATGAAGTGAACACATCAAAGATAGTGAAAACTACCCAGTATAAAACATAATCATATTGTTCACTTATTCAATTTTTTATAACTTCTTATTCTTATATCATGAATGGATGTTAGAAAACTCATTTTCTCATTTATTTTTACAAGTCCTAAATAAGTTCAAAGGTATGGATTTATTATCATTTTATTGTAACAATTTGAAACAGTTTCTTTATCTTGTTAAGAGAAAAATATCAATTCTTACAAAATGGCAAAATGACACAGAAAAACGTCTCCAAAAATTTCCTGATTTGAGGCCCAAACTCTATCTGAAAACATGGTAGATGGGTTGAAAATTGGGAGATGTTTTTCTTGAGTCTAGCAATCTGTAAACATGTATATATCTGTATACAAGTTGAATTTTGTTGATTTATGAAGTAATTTGTGCTCTTTTACCCCCATGATTTAATCAGTGTAACAGGGTAGTCTGTATCAATTCACTATTAAATGAAATTTAGGAATTTGGTTTTAATTTACTATCCAATCGTTGTCTGAAGATTTGGAAATAATTAATCACAAATTTTAAACACAGATCTTAATTTTTGAAAAAAAAAGAAACTGAAAGAGAAAAACTTGTTCAAAAAATTTATGTTATCACTGGAAGAACCTTTAGATTTTGATTTTCTTCTTGAAGTGAATTCAGTAAGCTTTGAAAACGCCATCAAATGTTTAAATGAAATCAAAAGAGACCTGGTGGTTTAAAGACAGCTATTTATAATTTTTGTTTGTTTTATTCTGTCTGTCTGTGACTGTCATTATATAATTTTTCCAGTAAATTTTAATGCTATTAATACTTTTTGATGCCGCCTACAAATAAAAGATAGTGTAATTACAAGGGAGATAACAACAGTCAACACATTTATAAGAAGAGGGAAAACCCACATTAAACACAACACTGTTGTGTGGACACATATCAAGATATCAATTGTTCTAAAATACAAAATGTTAATAACTTTGTATGTATATAAATCCATCCCTTAAAACGTTTCCATGTTCTGTCTTCCGAATTACTTTTGAGATGTAAACATAAAACAAGATCAGCGCATATTAATTTGCAAAAAAAACTCACATTTTTTTCTTAATAAATACATGGACAGGTCAAACAACCATTACCTTTTGCAAACACTACAATATAGACGTTCTGTCCCCAGTTACCATCAGGTGGGAATAATGTACCATCCGTCAGTCTAATGCCTCGAAAATTTCCAGTGGTTGGATTTCTGTATTTCATTCCACATGCTCCGGGGAACTGGGCAGATAGAGTTGACAAGAGCAGAGTCGCATCATCTTCGCTAGGGATTTCAATTGGCTCTTCACCTTCGTCTTCGGCTACTTGAATATACTGGGACATTTTGAGGGTAAATGATTTTTATCTGTTCAGTTTCATGAGGAAATTGTATATTTCCGGTTCCAACAGCGTTCGTAGCGGGAATTTTCTGAAGGTGGTGTATTACCATTAAAATAGAATAAACAACGACGGTCTCGTATTCAGACCTGAATGTCATATTTTGCGTTAAAAAGTCGCTGTATAGCATTATTTATGTTTGCTTGTCGTTTTTGGCAGGAATTTGGGTCTTTTTTGTGAAAGAAAATTCCAAACTACTAGTATATCATTTTAGCAGTTTTCATAGGATGCTAGAACTTGATGACCTATTTGCCCCCCCCCCCCCCCCTATTTCAATACTCAGGAAAAAGTTATGACCGTGATGTCATTAGTTAACGTTTTTTCATGATTTACTCCTTAAAAATGGAATTTAGAATTAAATTATAAGGAAAGACTGCTACGCGGGTTATTCAGTGTGCACCACATTTTTGATGTTATTATACTTCATAGGCAGAAAAAATATTACAGTAATTCCTTAAATGCAGTGTGCATGGGTAATACCGGCCGGTATATGTGTATTTTTATCATAAATGTCTGCCGCTGAATGTGAAAGCTGTACTTAGACCTATCTAGTTGCGTTTTCTTAGTGTGCAGGCAATGATTCTGATTTCAAAGCCGAAACGTTCACTATTTTATATAACTCATAGTAACGGAAAAGAAAAAGCTGCATAGTGGAATATTACTCAGTGTGACAAGTTCACATCGGCTCCTCATATATAAGATATTGGATTCAACAAACCATAAGAGGTTTGAAAAAGGGATGAAAGGAACCAAGTGAACTAATCAATACGAACTATTAACTGGTTCTCAGATATCTACCAACCAAATAAACGTTCTAATAGTCTCTCATTTGTGTTAAATCACACTGTTTCCATACACCCTGCCACTTACATGTTTTACTGAGTTTTACTGTGCGTCTTGCTGTGTGTTTGTTTATTCTACATTGGCTAGAGGTATAGGGGAGGGTTGAGATCTCACAAAACATGTTTAACCCCGCCGCATTTCTGCGCCTGTCCCAAGTCAGGAGCCTCTGTCCTTTGTTAGTCTTGTATGTTTTTTTAATTTTAGTTCATTTAATATATGTTTTGGAGTTTAGTGTGACGTACATTTTCATTGAACTAGTACACATTTTTGCTTAGGGGCCAGCTAAAGCCCGCCTCCGGGTGCGTTTTTTTCTCGCTGTGTTGAAGACCCATTGGTGGCCTTCGGCTGTTTTCTGCTCTTTGGTCGGGTTGTTGTCTCTTTGACACATCCCCCATTTCCATTCTCAATTTTATGAATATATTGCATACGTATTTCAGTTCCGAAAAATACAAAGTAATGCATGCTTTATGCCAAGCCAAGCCAAGCCTTTCTAAAGGTTCAAATAAGTATAGGTCATGTAGGTGTAACTCTGTATTTCAAATCATATATATCCTTAAACTTGCGATCTGAACTATCACCAGTAACATTTTATTTATTTATTTATTTATATTTATTTAAAAAAAATTTTTTTTTAATAATCTTCGAACAACGAGTTAGAACAATAACATAAAAAGAGACTATAAATATACAATAAATCACCGGTGCAACAAAACTTAACTTTTTCAAATGTTCGTGGTGAACAATAAAGCCAATCATGTTTTGAATACATAAAATCCGTTGCGGTATTCGAACAAAATGCCTGTGTGGCTACACGACTGGTAAAACTGTCCCACAGGTACATAATCAGTTTTAAAATTAGTTATCGCTTATTTATAGCAATTTTACCATCTATTAAAACAAGTACTAGTAATAGTGAAATATTACAAGTTCACATTGGTGCCTCTCATATATAAGATATTGGATTCAACAAACCAACGACGTATATAAACGTGAAATAATATGACATAACTGACTGACTAAATACAAAACCTTATTATTATACAACTATACCTATCATAAAACATATCCAATACTTATAAAAAGACTGAAGTATATATATGTTCCATGTCAGAACATTGCTATATATTACCCTAATTGTATTCAACACAAACATAATTAATTGAAACAGAAACTTTCAATTTGCTCAAACCAGTATATTGATTTGCAACTTTATCAAAAGAAGAACTTCCCTTACCTAAATTGAAGCCGGCTCTTAAGGACTTATCAATTTCCCAACATTTGCATAATGATCAAGCATTTTTTTTGTGCCCCACCCTACGTGTTGATCTATTCCTTCATCATTACCCCTAGCATACGTAATGTAATTGTACATCCTCTTTTACTACTGTGGGAAGTTTCCCCTTCGGATAATTTCAACACATGTAAATGCAATTTAAATCTCTGTCATGCATCCAAGATGAAGTAACTGGTTCATTTACAATTTTGCGTGACCACTTCAATACCCACTTCTACCATATAGTCCCATACTTATCAGCTTTACGGCCAAAATACGGACGTCAAATACCCTACTCAGAATCATTGAGGATTTGAAGATGGCACTTGATCAAAATAAGTTTATTGGGTCAATACTAAAGGATCTTTCTAAGGCGTTCGACTGTCTTCCTCACGATCTTCTGCTGCTTCTTCTACCGATGAGTCAATAAATTTACAAGGATCGATGTATAACCACATTCAGTGCTTCTGAAACCTTGCAGTACTTCAGCAAAGCGATGAGTGAGTCTACATTATTCTATGTTACGTAAATAATTCGTTTGATTGTTTTAAAAACCATCATATTTTCAAATGTGCGTTATATTATACTAGCCTCTACAAATTTTCACTGCAACAATGTTTCTTCTGTGTACAGATATTTTCTACCGATACTGCTACAACTTTTCCCCATTAAACAAAAACTTAAATAGCAAGAATAAATAAGTACGGATTATTTCTGAAAAGTTAGTTAACATTACAGGCCAATCATTTCACTTTGCCAATTGACGTTAACCGCAGCTTCAACTGGCCCCAGGAGGGATGGGGCTTTACGCCTCTCCTTTCGCCAAAAAAGAAACTTCAAGTTTCTCAAGGTTTCGACTCGCTTCGCTCGGCGATTTATATTTCGTTTTCTGGAATTACGACCCCTTTCTGAAACCCTGGATCCGCCCCTTGCTGCAAAAGTTATATTAACGACAACAGGCGAAAAACCAAATAGAATGCACTCAACAGGGACACCCCCATCCAATTTTTCCGCTATAAGAATTCTTAGACAAATTAAGAACTTCATATAAAACAAATATTGACTTGTCGATAAGTTAATTATCGATACATTCTTTCACAAAATCAAAATGAGAATACTCTATCTTATATTAAGACTAAGAAATCAGTAAAATGATTAATGCAAGAGGAATTATGGTGACAAAACATATTTCAATTATAAATTGAATTTTTAACTGTTCTGTACGTTTTTCAAAAGAATGCTTGTAAGATTTACCCTTATGCGTAGGAACTATTTTGTTTTAAATATGTACTACTTTCCAGTATGTTCTTTTCTGACTGGGCCCGATTAGGTGGTGTTACATCTTACAAAATCTATCCAAATTATTTTTGCAAAGAATTCCGCTCAAGCCGGTGCTAGGGGCCGTCTTAAACTTGCAGTGAGGTGGGAGTTTTTTTTTGCTCCGTGTTGAAGGCCTCACTGTGACTTTGAGATGAAGAACAGCTGTTCCTATGCTTTTTGTGTGTTTTTTTGCTGTGCATGAACTGATTTTATGTCATGGATGGATACCTATATCTTTTGTTTTTCTATTGTGATCATAAATTCAATAGAAAATGCTCAATGTTTCAAGGTTTGATTATTTTGTAATTTATTTTCTTAAATTCCTATATTTATATCACAGAGATTATAAACGGACGGATGTTAACAGGACTATTTATTTATACAGAAAATTTCCCTGAAAAGGAGTACACACCAGTAGCTACGTTTACGTCGTAACGCCTGGGTGTACACATGAATTTTATAGAAAACAAAAATGTTAATCATCAAAATAAAAAAAAAAGAATTGATTAAAACACATGATCCTTGTAATTCTTTCTTCTATGAATTTTTATTTAAAATAAAAGTGACGAAATACTACCTTTTATTCATGGTATCATATTATATATTTTTTCATTTTCTAACAAAGTCTGAATCTACTTATGTTAACACGCTAAAACAGGAAAATGCTGTTCTAATACTGACTTTGAACTTCAAATATATTTTATTTCTAAAGTATTGACTGTTGCAGTGATTTATACAATTCTGGTAACTTTTATTCACATTATTGTACAAAACTTTACATTTGATTGTTTGATAAATGTACTTATTAGGGCCCCGCATAGTTTTCACTTTGTCCGTCTGTCCGTCAACAATTTTTGTAAACGCTAAAACTTCAAAAGTATAGGTAGAAGGTCAATAAAATTTTGTACAGTTGTGCATATTATATTTTAGTGAAATTAGGGTCATTAATTTTGGAAAAAAACTTCTTTTTTGGTTAAAAAAAAAAATCAAAAATTTTGAGAAATGTCTATCAAAAACTGATATATAGATGTATTAAGTTATTTCAAAGTGATTGATGAGTCTCTATGTCAAAATTAATGGTTACACACCATTTACGAAAATGCCCAACAAAATGCATAGTGCTTGGATTTTACTAATGAAACTTGAAAAACATATGAGCTGCGTCGGACTATAAAAATCGACCTTATGCAAGTGCACGTATACATGTACATGTATATTAAGACTCTGATTGTTTTTTGGAACATTCAAATACGAAATAAAAGAATTTTGGTCTCTTTTGTAGGTTTCTTATAACAACTCAATTTTCAAACAGTTACAGACTTTGCATAGAGATTTTTTCAACCCGGAAATAGGTTAACAGAGGTATATATATTGATATTCATTTGCATAAGACGGTCGATTTCTATCCGACTCAGCTCATATATTAATCGAGAACACAAAATGGCATCCTGAATTACTTGCTGGTGCAAACAATTATGAAAATTGACAACCTGTGAACATTTGCTTTGTAAGCATCAGTCTCTTTGACACATAAAATGACATGTCAGTTATCTAGTTTTGATTGAAGTTTTCTT